GAGAGGTGGATGGAGGGAAGGCCGCCAGCAGGTGAGCTCGGGGGTTTTGGCCTGCCACGCTAACCTGCATCTTCTAGCGATGCTGCGGTAGGCATTTATGACAATAACAGCTATATTCCCTCCATGAAACAAGCACACTCCTGCCTGCCCGGGTGGCCTGTGGGCCCTGTGTGCCGCCTCGGTTTCCCTCCTGTTTCCTAGGGAGCCTCTTTTCCCATCACTCGACCGCTGGAATGGCCTCCCCTCCTCCCCCCGTGCTGGCCTTGGTGATCCCATCCACGTCTTTGATCTCAATCTCCAGGGACAGCGGCCACTCTGTTTTTGTGTTAACTCCAGCTCTGTGGCTCCCTCCAAGACCCTCTCCTGACTGAAGTTTCCAGCCGTGACCAAGACAGGTCTTTCAGGTGACCCCGGACCTTTCAGGTGACCTCAAGCCAGTGTGTCTTTGCAGCCCCTCTGCTTGCTGGCCATCCCCCAAGGCCCCTCGTCTCTGGGGTGGGGACAGTCGGTGCTCAGCTGCAGCCTCCCCAGCCGGGCAGAGCCGTGGGCTCGCCCACCCTCCTCCTCCTCACCCACGCTGAGTCGGGTGTCACCCCGCCAGCTCCTCTCCCGGGTGCGCCAGGCTCCTGCGGCGGCGGCTGGCTTCTGTGGCTTCCATCCAGGGCTCAGCGTCTGGAGGCTGGCGGGTTTTCAGCAGGGAAGGACCTGTTGGAGCGGAATTTGTTTTTGTTTTGGAAAGATGTTCTGGCAGTGTGGGTGGGTGGGCGGTGCAAGGAGCTGGGGAGGTGACATCTGGGTCCTCGACCTCCACGCCCCACCCCCCCGCGTTCCCGGTGTTTATTTTAACTCCACAGGCCGGGAAGGAAGCATTTTCATCCTTCCCCACCTTTTCTTTAAAAATTCTACTCTATTTTACTTAGAAAAACAAAATAAAGTAACTTAAAAAAGCAAAAAACACCGCCCTTCTACAGGCTGCAAAATCTTATTCCACTGCTCTCTCCCTAACACTCCACGTTGTTTCTTCTTGAAAGGTAATAAACAATTCAGAATCATTAGCATATGCAGATAATTCACCTTTTCTCCTGCTGTGGCTCTTCTCTTGCTTAGGTGACATTCTGTCTCACCTTAGCAGGAAATTTCTGCTGGTTTTGTCTGAATAATATGGACGGACTTAAGGTCGTTATCTGTTAGAAGAGCTGGAGACTAGAATGTATACAAAACACTTTATAAAGCAAATTTCTCACTGATTTTTGCAGGGAGATTTCCCGGGTGCCAGCCACCTGCCCTGCCCAGGCTGACCTCTGGGGGCGCTGACGGGCTAGCAGATATGCCACCAGCAGCAGGCGTCTCCCTGGCTGGAGCCTCGGCTCAGATGGGCGTTCCCCGGTTTCTGATCCCCAGGGAGAAGGTGGCGGCGTCCTGCTTCTTTGAGTGACAGCTGGCAATCTCCCCTGTCTTCTTCACGCCTTCTGTG